ACGGGGAGAACCACAGACTTACTTTAAAAACTTTGTTAATTTGGTCTATTTCGGATTTTCCTGGAAAAAGCGGCTTCTGGGTTAACAGCTCTCCGAAAATACAGCCCACGGACCACATATCGATGGCTGTGGAATATTCCTGGAAAAGAGAAGTGGAGAGGGAAATCCACTGAGGGGGGCCCATCCAGAAGCGTGTGAAAGAGTTTGGGACACTTCCTTTAAGACTGGAACAGCCCAGACTTTGTATCGACAAGTATAATGAAATATGAGACTCATTTATACAAGACAGTAGGTTAAAAAGATGACAGTCCTATAAATCTATTAGAAATATATATGTACTTGAATTATATTTGTATTAGATAAGCATATATAAAACTGTAGTTGTTTATTGTTATGATGATAGATTAACTTTCTCTGTTGTATTTTTTTCACTTTTTTTGTTAAAGTGCTCTTATGTATTTTTTTTTCTTTTTGTAATTAGAAATTTAGAACAACCAATAAGATTAGAACAGCCCAGTTTGGGGTGGAAATGACAGAAACTAGAAAAGATTTTGCCCCTCTCTGATTGGCACCTCTGCTTGTCACTTAGTCCCTCCGGATGCTCCTGGACTACAGCTCCCAGCATGCCTCACCATCGGCCACGCTGGCTGGGACGAGGGGAATTTTTAGACCAAGCCCATTGCCAGATGGTGACCTCACATTCCAGGGAAGCTGTTCAGACAGTGACCCGAGTAAGGGAGGAAAACATGAAGTTAACGAATCAGCAGCTTTCTCGTTCCTTCCTCATGCATTCCAAAGTTAAGCTGTATTTATTTTTGGATTTCTTCTTCTCCATCATCCTAACGCAATCATTTGACTGGGAGATTCAGGGAAGAGAATGTTGGACAATACATTCCCAACCCCTCTGGCTCAAAGACATCTACATCAGTTTTTAGGAAGCCCAGGTTTAAAAGCCAAAAAGAAAACTTCCTCGCGTCGAGCTACAGCCAAGAAGATCTTTGCCCCTTCGTACAAGTCAAAGGCAACCAACTCCGTGACGCTCATCCAAGGGAACCCAAATACGAATAAGAGCTGCCAATTTAAAAATCTCCGCCAGCAGCTCCACGTATCACAAACCTTGGCTCCGAGTAAGAGCTCGGGGGCACGGTACCACAACGTCACGACGACGGGGGTGTACGGCTTTAAGGGAGAACCGTATTCTCGGGCCAGTCCAAAATCTCCAACCTGAAGATGAGAACAGAAGGACTTGTTGGAAAAGACGCGCTAACGTTCATTAATAACACCCAACAATATCTGATGGCAGCTTGATTCGAATAGGGGCCGTTTCAAGATTGGGAGGGGGGGAATCCAGAAGCTTTGGGAACTGTGGCTGACATGCCTGACACTTCGGAAACCCTACTGCGTTCTCCTCTTTCCCATTTCCCCTTCCCTGTCAGAGTATAACCGCTAAGCGATGCTAAGGTGACAAGACTTTGCAGAAATGGCAAAATTGACCTGTTTGATCAGGGATAAGACAACAACTTTCATTAAAGATGGGAAACCTTCTTCTGGGCTTTTTGCTGAGAGCAGGAAAAGATGACCTGGTGATGTATGAATGTGCTGATTCAAAAGGGTTGAAGAAGGGAATGAGGGTGTGATTTTAAAGAGGGAGAAGAGAGAGAGAAAGTTTGCAATTGCTGTGAAGAAGATCCAAAGTCGCTTCTTTAAATATCTTTCCTTTTTGTCTATTTGCATGACTTTTGACACTTTTCTCTTTTTCTCAACTTCATATTATTTCATGTTTATCTTTTATTTCTGTGAAAATCTTTAATAAAACCACTCAGTGCGCTTGACTGGGCCACGGGGGTCCCTTGATTTTTAGGGATTTCCCTATTCTTGATCCGCCTCGGGCATGGGGGAAACCCTTTCCCTGCCCTTAACCGCAGCGCTCATTAGAAATGAGCAGGGCCAAATCTCCATAACCGGCTTCTGTTTTTAAGCGGAGTGATGGGTTTGCATTAGGACAAGCCGTTTTCAGCGCAAGGGAATGCAAACTCGAAAAGCTTACTTTTAAAATCCCAGCATGACTCAAGAGCAGGTTAGAGGTTTTCAAGTCCCGGTGCAGAATCCAGTTGTCGTGGAGGTGTTTCACCCCCCGGAGCAATTGAATCATCAAGGTTTTCACTTCCCCTGCAAGAAAAGCGGGAGGCGTTAAGAGGGGAGGGAAAAGGCCGTGTCCTCGGGGTCTCTCTCACGCCGGAGAAGAGAGGGGTGCGTGTCTCACCTGGCAGAAAGGGCTGTTTCATGGTTTCCATCAAGCTTTTGAGGTCGTGCTCGACGTAGTTCATCACGATGTAGATCTTGTCCATGTTGCTCCCCACGACAATCTCCTAGATGCCAAGAGAAAAGGACGCAGTGGTAACCCCCTCTCGTGCCCACTTGCTTGCTGCCGTTCTTTCGCGGCTGCTGAAAAACAATCTGTTCAAAGAGCACGGAAGGATTTGTCCAGGGAAGTGCTTCCCTCCGCCTTGATTTTCCCAGCAGAGGGGCGAAAACATCCGTGTGTCCGCTTGGGCAGGATGAAATCACGAGACTTAAGTTGAACTGGGACTTTTGGATTCCATTCCATTTCCATTTAATTTCCATTCCAATTCCATCCTATTTCTATTCCTATTTCATTTCTTAGCCTATGTCCCATCCCAACATCTGGAGGGGGAAGGGACTGCTGAGAACTGATCTCTCTCTAAGACAGTTCAAAAAGAAAGGGGGTGACCCAGTGTGGTGGGATTAGGTGAGGAGGCACAGGTCAGCCCCTGCCATTTTATAAAGGCGTGAAATACTTTGCCAAAGCAGGCTACACACAGATGCACAAATGCAGGGGTTTTGGGATGGTTGGGTATTAGAACTGTCAGACAAAGCATAACAACATGGGACACCTCCTTCCAGTTTATTTTTGGAGGGGTGGCATTTGAGCAGGGTGGAGGGCTGGGGCTTAATTAGGAAAACATCCACCCACTGGAGTTTATAAGTATTTTGTGCCAGGGAAGAACAAGACTGACTGCCTACGATGACCGTGTGATATTCAGGAAACCTCTTTACAACCCCTTTTAAATGATTTAATAGAAGTGGCTTCGAATCTCTGCTTAAACGTTGACAAAGTTTTCTATTCCCCCCCCTACCCCGCCATTCTGGCTCATTATGTTACCTCCAATATATTTCCTGAGCGAGAGAAAGAAACCAAGACGTGTCCAGATCCAGAAAGGATTGGCGGGGGGCAGCAAAACCATTCCTTGGAAGAGATTGTGAGGTGTGTGGGATAACGCTCGCCCCTGCAATCCTAGCGCGCTTACCCGAACAGTGACAATATTTGGGTGCTGAGCTTTGAGAATGGTGTTGATCTCTCTTAAGGAAGTAATAGGAAAACCTTCTTTCTCCTTCTCCATTTTTAACCGCTTCAGGGCCACAATTTCATCTGGAAAAAAAAAGAGCGCCATTTTGACTGCAGGCAGCTTAGCTCTCCGCCCGGCAGCCCGTTAAAGGGGGCCCTGATTATGCCTCGGTTGCAGATGACTGCAAACTGCAAAGATCAGTTTGGGGGAGCCCAGTACCACGCAATGAAAAGGAAACGGAGTATTTCAGAACCACACGGGGTATTTTTTAAATTCAGAATTTGCAGCCTGAGCCCAGGAACGCCTGTCTGCAAACGAGTTGCTCGATCTCCAAGCTACAGCGTGCCTGACCAAATAATTTTCAAAAACGTGGGAGGCTGAGACTCAAGAATGAATTATTATTCATTTTTAATGAATTTAATTAAAAATGAATCAGCAGCTCGTTTTAGGAAAACAGCAGAGCAGGCAGGAAAAGGATCGACTAAAAGTACAATCCTGGGCCCAAGGATGTGATATTTATTCCTACATCTTGCCTTTTGTTCAGGAGCTCAAGGGGGTGTTCAGAGCACTCCCTCCTCCTCCTCTTCTTCACAACAACCTTGTGAGGTAGGTTGGACTCAGAAAGAGGGACTGGCCCAGGAAGCTTTTGTGACTGTTGCTGGATGAGAATCTGGGTCTCTCCACTCATAGCCCAACACCTTCACCGGTACACCACACTGACTTTTTATGGGTACCAATTTTTGCTTAAAACGGAAGTGAAGAATTAGGGAAGGGCTGCACCAATCACCCTAGCCTGCTCTGCATCCAGAAATCCTCAGGTTCAATACTTGCCATGCTCCCTCCAAAAAACCCACCTGTTTTTTTGTCTTTCGCTCTGTACACCACGCCGTAAGTCCCTTCCTCGATCCGGTTCAAGCACTGAAATTCTTCCACGCTGCGGCAGCCCTGTGCAAGAAGAGCAAACGAAGCAAATGAACACATCCTTTCTCCCTTTTTTAAAAAATCGTCACGATTTGAAGATTGGTAGGCACGAAGCAAAGGAAGCTAAACTCCTTTTTTTTTTTTTTAGATTATTTTATTTCAGTGTCTTCTTCATTCCCTCTGGGGATATCCCACTTGGAGATCTAGGGGTATAGCAACAGGTTATAGATTTTTTTTAAAATATAATAAAGACCAAAAATTCGCTAGTCCCTGGATTAGGAAGAGCTGTCTCCCATCTATAGCCCTGCTCAGCTAGAAGGGGACTAATGTTGCTATTTTTGATTAATGTGTTTGCTGCTGTTTAACCATCATGCCTATTGTATGCTTTTAATCCAATTTACAATGGTTGGGACGTCTGCTGGCCTGAGTTCCCTTCAACTGAGGAGCTTCAGGAGCCCAGGAAAATCGATAAATGACCACTCCGAGCGAATCCTGTAAAGAAGCCCTGACTTCTCTGACCAATTGTGGTCTTTATATCTGTTAACGTATTTATTAATTGTTTTAGCCCTGTTGCGCACCGCTTGTTTGTGAGATGGGCGGCTATTATAAATTGTATCAATAAATACAAAAGAGTGGAGTCCTTGGGGTTCTCTGAGCTTGGCTTCTGACTGCTAGTTGGTGTTCATGGATGCGCTCTGCCAGCCTGTCTGTCCTATACAAAATACAAATTCAAAACGAACAGCGGGCCAAGGAGCTCAGGCTCCGTGGGATGAGGAATTTACAAGGTCCATCTCACCTGAAGGGCTGGGAGATATTTGGGCAGCTCTTGCTTCAGCTCTACGGGCGAGGAGATGGGCGAGTCAGGAAGATATTCGCCTTCCGTCATGGCGTTGGACTGCGGGCTTCCTTCGCCAGCATCCTCTTCCTCGGCTTCACTTCCCGCAGAATCCTGGTCGAACCTTGACTCTGTAACTTTAAATGGTAGAATCAAATCACGGAAGCCAGTCATTGGTTCTGCCCCCCCCCCCCAAAAGGGAAGTTAGTCTCTGTATTGGGTATTTTAGAGCTACAAAATCGCACGGGCCGTGGTTGATGTGCAGATATCCTTTATACGTAGGGCAAAAGAGCATCGCCAAATTGTGATTGCGGGGCTGAAAAACAAACAATCCAATCTACAGTGACAGAGGGCCAAAAGAGAGCCTATAATGGAGATTTCGCTGATTTCCTGGCTGTGACGAATGAAGTAAAAAATTCTATTTGTAATCTAGACATAGGTCTATCGTTTTATATTTTATAGCTTGTATTTTATCTCTGGTGTTTGAACTGCGATGTGAATGTGCCGTACAATAAATAATAAATAAGTAAACCGAGCCACAAGGGCTTCTAAGCACTAAACTCCTATCATACGTTCTAGGAGATTCACAACCTACTTCTAAAGCCATCAACGGCTTGTGACTCTTATTAAAAAAGAAGTTATTTATCCTCTGGGCCACTCCAAAACAAGAAGTCATCTCTGTTCCTCTGTGGCTGGCATGATCTGTAGGGTAGGAAAGGTTTTTAACTGCTGTGGGACTGGTTAAGCTACCCTACCTAGAAGCAAGCGTGAGGTTTTGAGAATACCACCTTATGTCACATTAAGCGTAATGCTCGTGTTGCTCAAATGTTCAAGAAGTTTTGAGAACCTTGAGCATGCAGTAAGTGTAAGGCAATTCAGATGAGCTCTCCTTTTCTGCAACTGCACCATTTGGAAGCGGCAAGTCAAGGTTTTGGGGAAACACTGCTAGGCAGACCAAGAAGTAATACAGAGTCAGAATTCAGGTGAGGCTAGGATCAAGCATCTGTTTTTTGCAGCTGTTTGTTAAATCTGAGGAGCAGGGAACAGAAGCAGTTCTCCTGACTTAGATTTGCCTGAGAAAAGGGCCCAACAGCATACTATTGGCAAAACAAGCTTTTTTTTAACTATGATGTCCACGGTTGGCACAACTCTGTCTTTGCGCAATGAACGTGAATCAGCCTGGGAGGAAAAATTGACTTTTTGACCTATCTCAGAAAGCATGCAGAAGGGAGTGGAATGAATTGAAAGCCAAATCCTGCATGTGCTGCCTTACCAACTGGGAGATGGTCTCCGTTTTCTCGTTCCTCTTCTTCGCTCATTTCATCTTCGCTCACTTCTTCTGCAAGCAAAAGAGACGCTTCAGAGACAAGTAAAAGCTGTTTGGCAGCCAGCGCAGAAAGGGGCAACCGAATTCAGATCAACAACACTGTGGTGGTTTAGAAATCTAGAACAGCTAAATTGAACACACACAAACACCCCAAAGAGTCCTGTGTTTTGCAATCTAGCACAGCAAGGGAGGCTGATGGATGATTGCTTGACCCAAGAAGCCAGGATGTTGAGAAATGTCAGTGGTTTGCTACCATTACACCTATATTTGGGTTCTGCCAAGCTTCAACAGCAGCAGAAAGAGAACACAGTACAGGTAGTCCTCACTGAACAACCATTTGTTCAGTGACTGTTCGAAATTATGACAGCGCTGAAAAAATGGACTTACGACTGGTCCTCGAACTTACAACCATCGCAGAGTCCCCACGGTCACATTCTCCTGCCCTTCACGAACTGCCTCTGCTTCAACTCCTAGCAAGCCTGCCCCACTTCAGCAGTCTCAGCGCACCATTGACATGCTGTGCAGAGCAGCCAAAAGGGCAGAGATGGGAGGGATAGGCGGGTAGAGGGAGTTGAAGTAGAGGCACTTTGTGTAGGGCAGGAGAAGCAGGAGGTCCTCACCATAACTGGGTCAGTCACCATAACTGGGACTGCCAGAACTGCCGTCGCTAAGCAACACAGTCGCTTAGTCCCAATTAGGGTCATTAAGCGAGGACCATCTGTAATAACATCAGCACTGTGAAAAGAGGCGTTGTTTTCTACTACTAACCAGCTGACTGTTCAGAGACTTCTTCCGAATTGCTTCCTGTCTCCTCCTCTTCTTCCTCCTCTTCCTCTTCCTCATCTTCAGACTCTTCACTGCTGGATTCTTCTTCCTCCTCCTCTTCTTCCTCCTCCTCTTCTTCTGAACCTGATCCAGATTCCCCTAGAGGAAAAAAAAAAATTAGCAATCTCTAGCGGCTCAAACAGGGCTACTGCACTGAGTCAGCGTCCTCACAAAGGTTACCTGACGAAGTTTCTGCCGAGCTGGTTTTTCGCTCACTGTCACTGATGTCCTGGAGATCTGAAAGAGGGTCTTTCCCTTCTGGTTTCTCCTCTCTCACTGTAGGGAAGAACAAAAGGAGGCATTCTCAAGCTGCATGCTATACACTGATTACAATCTGGCATTTAAAAACTGTTTTCTTAAGATCAACAATGGCCTAAAACTTTTAAAACACTTTCAGACTACGGCAATTGGGGAAATTTAAAATTTCAGTTCAGTTTCAGCTGTTCATTTCATTCTCTCTCAATAGGATCACTCAAGACCCTTTTCTAGGTGGGCAGCCATGATTTTTTTTTTTTTTGAAGGGAGCATGTAGGAGATTGAAGAATATTTTATATTATGCAATACCATAACTTTCCCCTTGTTTCCAAGTAGTATAAATGTAGGATACAATTGTGCTGTTCTGTCCATGTGGTGCAGCACCAATAACATCAACTTTTTCAGAAGAAATCTTAGTGGGATAATATGGAACACTGTTTCAGTCGGCCTGCATGCAGGCAGATACTGGAATCGTGTGAATTTTTTTAAAAAATCAGACTTATTATTAATAGAACCTGTAATGTACTTTCAGCCACTCCCACCTTGGCGGTTTCAAACATGATACCAGCTCAGGAAGTCCCACTGATGAATTTAAAAGCTACCTGGCTTCCTGATTTCTGACTGTTCAAGTTTTTCTCTCTGTTGTCGCAAGGGGCTTCGGCTCCAAATTCTTACTTTCTCCCCGTAGTCTTCTCTCATGGTCCTATGATGCCCTGAAACTAAGAGAGACAAGGGAATCTGCCTGTCATTACCCCATGATGATGCTCCCTACGCAATCTTCACAATTCTCCAAGTTGAGACCCACCCTGTCTTGCTACCTGATTGTATCCAGACCGAGCTACATCATCTGAAGTTGAACCTCCCTGGTGTTCAAAATCTACCTGGCCTGTCTAGTCCATCCTTCCCACGGATCTCAACCTTCTAGCTTCCTTCTCAACACGCTGGCCGTTTGCCCTTCCAGATTGGCTCTGGTTTCACTTCTGCACACTCTGAGGCTCTCTTCAACCCCAACTCACCCATAACTCTTGCGCACGGTATACCATGGTACTCCCCTACCATACACTCATTCCCAGATTACTCATCCCTTGCCCACAGCCAACCCCTTATTTTGCTTCCTGGACTACTTACTCTCCCGTCTGGCTTCCCGTTCTTTTCTCCTTTCTTCTGCTCGCCTCTCCCGTTCTTTTAACTCCCGCTGCTCCTTCTGTTGCTCCCTTAATTTCCTCTCCCGTTCCCGTTTTCGCTCAAGCTGCTCCAAGCGGTCCCTAGAGAATTTCCATGTACCCGCATTAATTTTACCAGTCTATTGCGTGATTAAGTTATGCTCAGTTGAGTTTCATTTTCTCTTACAGAAGAGCCAGCCTTATTTATGGCTTATTTATTTTCCGAGCGAGGTCCCCTTTACACACAGGCCAAGTTTTCCTACACAGAAGCATGTGGAAAGAACATGCTTCTGCAATAGGAAAGTGGCGTTCACATAAGAAGTTGGGTGAGGCCAATGCAATAGTTTTGTCTTTGTTCATTGCAACAATGAGACACTAACAATGGCAGGAAGGATTAACACTATTCAAGACAAAAATCTCACAGCTCTTCAGGCTCAAAGCTTGAAAATAATATGTTCAGACACTCAATCTTAGCCTAATAATAAAATACTTAAGTCAGAGATGGAAGGGAAGCTGTCAGGCACCAGGGAACAGCCTATCCCAATTTTAAGGGGAATCATAACAATGAGACACTAACAATGGCAGGAAGGATTAACACTATTCAAGACAAAAATCTCACAGCTCTTCAGGCTCAAAGCTTGAAAATAATATGTTCAGACACTCAATCTTAGCCTAATAATAAAATACTTAAGTCAGAGATGGAAGGGAAGCTGTCAGGCACCAGGGAACAGCCTATCCCAATTTTAAGGGGAATCATTAAGGGGAATCTACCATAGTTGAGGCTTGCCACAAGTATATCAAACATACAAAGAATAAGAAATATGGGCAGATCTATTCACTCAAGCAATCTCACCCAGGTGGAAAATAAACCCAGAATTAAGCATTTAAAAAACAGCTGATATATTCAAGCTGCAATCAAACAAAGGCTTGCTGATCAACCACCTTGTAATGGATTTGAAGCAACTGGCCTGTCACTCAGAGGTTAGTATCAATGGGTTTTTTCCCCCAAAAAGAGAAACGCAACATTATCATTTGAGGAAAGTGCCAGATCACTGCTTTCTATGATAGCAAAGCAGGCTTGTTTCCCAATCTGAAGCGTATTTGCTTCCAAAGTCTAGTTAAGCAATCAAGAAGTTGCTTGCGATCCTGCTTTTATTACTCTTACATTCAAGGCTTGTGATCTAGACACTTAAGGACTTTGGTTCCCTTCAGACCTTCAGACCTTGGTTCTTGTAAGCTTTAAACAGTTAGCAGAACTTTGGGAAGGGCAGACACAACAACAGAGAAATTCAGCTGACCTAAGTTGGTTCCCGGATTTATTGATATGCTATTTGTATTTCAACCATACTGTCCAGAAGGCTCAAAGCAATTAACACAGGGCTGTCTGTAACCCCAAATGCAGGTACGACCCCAATATTTATTTCCTCAGCTTTAATGCAACCAGATGCTCAAGGGAGACTACTGGGGAGCAAAGTATAGCTGGTAGAAAATTTGTTGTGAAATCGCACCATTCTCTTATTTAGGGATCTTCTTACTCTAAAGCTAATACGCCCCCATTTCAAAATCAAAATGTACTTATCAATGTTAATCAAATCAAAATGCCTTTCTGTTTCGGTTTAGACATTCACTGGGCATCTGCAAGGAGGTGGGGAGGACGCACCACAATCGCCTTCTGACCCACCTACCCCTAATCTGCTCTGCCAGCCACTTTTAAAATTTGCCAGCTTGCCCCACACGCTTTCCAAGCACCACCCCGCCATTCCGAGTAACCCATCGTGCTTAAAAAAGGTCATCATCAAAGTCCCAAGGAATATGAACTTGCTAAGTATAAGGCCCATTTCTTCACAGAAACTGCAGCAAATGGTTCGTATCTATGATAACTCCTCTCTGTTACCGAAATGCTGGTTTAAGTCACAAAGCCATGATGACATCACTGTCTGCAGGATCATGCTGATTCCCTCCCAGCAGTGGAAAAGAATATAAGAGCTACAAGCAAGCATCCACAAGACGTTGCTCAAGGAGAGATTCTAAGGAAGAAATGTTGGATTTGGGGCTGGTGAAGAATTACCTCTCTCTCCGTGAGTGCTCCCTAGCCAATTCTCTCCTTTTTTGCCTCTCCCATTCGCGGCGGGCCTTATCCTGCTCTTCGCGGTGCCTTTTTCTACGTTCATGTTCGCGTTCTTTCTCTTTCACCCTAGCATGTTTCCCTAGTAATAAAGATACAAAGAAAAGGCCACACCGTTGGTTACCCTCCCTCGCAAACGGCATTGGGAAACTTAATTGAGCAAAGGAACAAAATAAAAGATTGTTGGTTTAGCCTCGGCCCGGGCACTTCCTGAAATTGTTCTAGCCAGCAGGGTCTGCGGCTGTGCTGGGGGACGATGGGATTTGCAGTCAAGCCCATCGGGAATCGGGCCCCAGTCAAAACTTGGGTGTTAAAGCACGTATCTTAATTTTGATGTATCTTTCATGCATGGGTCTTTTTTTTTAATGATTTGAGTTAAGCAAGCATTTTTAGCTTAACGGTTGCCAGGGACACATGGGTTTTGATTAGAATATGAGAGCGCTTACAACATTATACGCTTCTAATAACTTATTAGGCTAAATTAGTTTTAGGATATTTCAGACATGTTGCTGATTTGCCTGTATTTTGCTATTTCTCCTTGATTTTCCTCTTTGTATCATCTATGTTTTTCAAAAATATATGATAATAAAATAGGGGAAAAAATACTTGGGAAGATGGTTTGGAGGGTCCCCCCATCCCCCAAAAGATTCATTGTCTATGAAAGTATCTATGGAAAGAAATGCTAGAGCTTCCATATACCGAAGCAGTATATCTCAGAACACTAGGAAGTAAAAACAAGCCAGGTTAAGTTTCACCGCTGCTTCCGGGCACCAAGGAGCAGGATAACAGAGTGTTTAATTTAGCAGGCTGTTCTTACACTGTGGATGGGCTACAACAGCTGACCCACACACGCTAACTAAACTAAGAGCAGGATCTGATTTTCTTCCTCAAACGCTGGGGGAACGCAACTAAAGGTGGCCGCTGCTGGAAGCAGAAGACAGGCCGCCATCTTTTAGAGGTGCTGCAGTAGAGAAGCTCCTGTATTAATAAGGAGTGGGGCTAAAAGGTCCTCTAATTTCATCATTCTAAACCACCACAAGGTTAAGCCATGCCTGAACAGGCGGTGCCACAAGAAAGTGATTTCTAGATGGATTTGCTGACCTCGGAACCTTGTTCATTTCTTCCCCATTTTGGAGCTGTGGCCCTGAGGCTGTGACCGCGCTGAGAGTTTGATCAAAAGCAGGGGAAAATCAACAAGGGGACCCCAAATGAGAAGAGCAGAACCTTCTGCTGAGTGACTGCGGTGGCGCCGCTTCTCTTTCCGCTTCTCGTCTTTTCTGTGGTGGGCCTTCTCCTTGCGTGACATTTGTTGGGGTGGTTTGATTGCCAGGGAGTCGTCCTCCTCTCCCCTACAGAGCACACCATTTGAGAAACACAGGGAAGATGCGTGAGACTGGAGAAAGGTAGCAAGTCATCCAATCTCCCCACTTTTCAAAGCCTGTTGGCTTCAGAAAGGAAACTGAGCAGGTAAGGAACCCTCAGTCTTCCGTGAATTGCTTCTGCTCTGGCTAGAATTTATACAAACCATGCAACTTGAAGAACTGGTACCTAAGTTATTTTGCCTTCCTCCTCCCAACCTGTTACTTTTCCTCTTATGTTATGTCTCTAAGACTGCAAGATAACATTGTCATGATTCCAATTGGTGCACGAACTTTGTAAGAATAGGTGCTTTGTAAACAACTTAAACTATTCTTATCCTATCATTCACCTAAAAAGTTCCCCAGAGTTGCTTCAAAGTCCAGCAAAGCAAGTAAAGGAAAGCAGGACCATTTCATTAGCTTAGCCAAAAAACAGCCTCCATGAGGCTCCTCTCTCCATAAACTACAACAGCAATTCCAGTAGACCATAGCCAAGAGCATCAAGGGAAGCAGAACTTATTATTATTATTTGTTGGATTTCTCCCCCACCCATCTCCCCCACAATAGGGGACTCTGGGCACTTCAAAAAACTTAAAAACTATAAATATATCTAAAACACA